TCTAGCTCTGGCTCGGACAGAAAGCAGCGCAGCCGCCACAAGAAAACCAAAAGGAATCGCAAGCGGAGCGACAGCAGCGCTGACGAGTGGGTGGAGAGTGCGCGCGTCGCCGCCGATGCACCAAAGGCCGCACAGACTTTGGTGCAGCGGGACAGCTGGATGACGGACAGCGCAGCTCTAATGCTGAAAACTTACTCCAAGGAGCGTAAGGAACCAGCCAAGCCCAACGAGAAGTTGCAGCAAATCGATGCCTATGACCCGGCCAAAAGCTGCCACGAGCTGAATCCCTATTGGAAAAGCAATGGCACCGGCCTGCCGGGCTTTCAAAAGCCCAAAGCCGATGAAGAGGATGCGCCCGTAGCCAGCCGCGCCAGTGCAATGCAACAGCCTCGTGGCAGCACGATGCGTAGCTGGCAAAAGCCCGGAACAGTCAAGGACTGCGGCAAAAGCAGCAGCAGCAGCAGCAGAAAGAAGCGTAGCCCCTCACCTGCTTCTCCGGACGCCACCTCCGGCGAGGAAAGTGAAACCGAGCCGACGCATCTGACGGATGAGCAAATCAATGAATTGGCCGCCAAGGCCATTAAAGCCGAACTCAAGGGCAAATCCGAACTGGCGGCTGAGCTCAACAGGCAGCTGGAGACCGCACGAAACCTACGCGCCGAGCTCCTGGCCAGCGGCAAAGCGCCAGCAGCTGCAGCTGCAGCTGCCAAGCGCCCAACTGGAAAGCCAAGCAAATCGCAGCAGCAGCAGGAACGCGATCACGTGCTGCTCACACGCACCGATGCCAGCGGCAATGTGCGTCCACTCGTGCAGTCGCGCTCGACAGCTGCCCAGGCAGATCCCAATTCGCTATACGGCGGACGCAAGGGACAGAAGCGTGGCCAAAAGAAGGTGGACACGCATGTGGATGGGCAGCGGGTGCGCTACTTTGCGGACGATGATCGCTATGATATCAAACAAATGGTAATTTGTTTATATTTTTGTTTTTCTTGATCCTGCTGCTGATCCAAAGATCTAATTCGATGCATTATTTGCAGTTTGAGCGTGAGAAACATGCGACCGCCGCTGAGTCAAATCTGCAGTACGCCGATATCGTATCGAAGCACAAGAATCCCAATGATGATCTGGAGGACATATTTGCGGATCGGGTGCGCAAGAACATCTCGGAGGCTGATGCCGAGAAGCGTGAACTGCAGCAGGCGATACGGGAACACGAGAAACTGGCCGCAACGCTGGAGAATTGTGAACGCTGCTTCGACTCGACCAAGCTGGACAAGCAGCTGTTGGTTGCCATGGGTGACAAGATCTATCTGAGCCTGCCCTGGCACGCGGGTCTGCAGAGCGGCCATTGCATATTGACAGCCATGCAGCATGTCTCGGCCTGCACACTGCTCGACGAAGATGCCTGGGAGGAGCTGAGTAACTTCCGCAAGGCACTGACCCGCATGTTTGCCGCGCAACGCAAGGATGTTGTCTTTTATGAGATTGCCAACAAGCTGCATCGGCGACCGCATCTCACCGTCCACTGTATACCCATACCGGAGTCGCGGGCTGAGATGGCGCCTTTCTACTTCAAGAAGGCCATCGAGGAATCCGAGCAGGAGTGGTGCATTAACAAGCAGCTGATATCACTGCGACAGAAGTCCCTGCGCGCTGCCATACCCAAGGGTCTGCCCTATTTGTGGGTGAACTTCGGCATGGACGCGGGCTTTGCTCATGTCATCGAGGATCAGGAACGTTTTCCAGCTAACTATGCACAGGTTTGTCGAACGGCACGCAAACATTGCTTAACTATATTAATTCTATTATTTATTTTTGATATTTTTAGGAAATTATTGGTGGCATGTTGGAGCTTAATCCGAATTCGTGGCGCAAACCGCGCAAGGAGCAAAACTCCATTGCAAAGGTCAAGTCGTTTGCGGAGGCATGGCAAAAGTTTGACTGCACCGAGCGCTAGGACGACAGACTAAAAGCAACTATTCTTAAAATTTAAATATGCTTCAAAAAGTAAATAAATAACGTAAACAAGTATGCGTTTTTTTTATGTATTCAAAAAAATACCGTTGATTGACTTTCCATCGATGTGTATATATATATCGATATATCGATATACAGTGAGTTGACATTTCCAGCACTGGCAATTTGCTCAGATTAGGTGGCAGCCTTGTCATCGACAATAACCGCAGCCAACTTCGAGCGTCTTGTTCTTTTTTCCGGTTGACTTTGACTAGCAAGGTAGTGCTCGCGTTCGTTTACGTGAATATATTTTTTTTATTGTTAAATTATTGCTGCAAATGCAAGGCAATAAATGAAAATGTGTGTCCACTAAAGTGCATGAGTGAATGTTGCAATTGAATAACTTAAAAATGTTAAAACTTACCTTAAATAGTTAAAAAAGCGACATGCGCTGAAATTCGCAGAATATTGTTGTCTTTGTTTGCATGTGTGCGTGCGTGCGAGTGTGTGTGCGTACGTTTGCGAATCGCAACGTGTTTTTTGTATTACTTTTTTTTTTAAATTTATTTAATGTTTGTATTTGTGCTATATTCTAGATGCCAGGTGTCACAGTGAAGGATATTGACCAGCATGCCGTTACCAAGGCGGTCGCAGTTTTCCTTAAGAAGTGAGTTTGGAGGCACTGCACAACACTGCGTTTGTGCGTACATAACCTCACAAATGCGTTTGTTTGTATATAAATCTTGATATATTCATATGTATAAAAAATGTTTTAGGACCGGCAAATTGAAGGTGCCCGACCAGATGGACATCATCAAGACAGCCAAATTCAAGGAACTGGCACCCTACGATCCCGACTGGTTCTATGTGCGTTGCGCCTCGATTCTGCGTCACCTGTACCACCGCAGTCCCGCTGGCGTTGGCTCCATCACCAAGATCTACGGTGGTCGCAAGCGCAACGGTGTGCATCCATCGCACTTTTGCCGTGCCGCTGATGGTGCTGCCCGCAAGGCGCTGCAGGCTCTTGAGCATGCCCGCCTGGTCGAGAAGCACCCCGAGGGTGGCCGCAAATTGAGCTCGATTGGACAGCGCGATTTGGATCGCATTGCCAACCAGATTGTGGCTAAGCAGCGCGACGCCGCCAAGCAGACTGGCCCCATTGTTATTTCCAAGTAAATTGATTGTGTACCCGTGCCTGGACACCGCACAGAACCAATCCCAAGTCTATAAAACCAATTTAGGCTTATACTGTAAGAGTTTTTTGTTTGCACACAAATGAAACGAGAATATAAAAACAATTCACTAAAGTCTACAAAAACAAGCGTAAATATGTAACAAATCGTTTTCTTTGCCAAAGCGAAGCCTTTACTATGTATTTGGGAATTCAAAGTAAAGCCTGTGAATTGGGCAACACATGAGACCAAGGCGCCTCATAATGTCGAGTTGGAGGCTGCACAGATCGTCGTTCCGTCTCTGCCGTATCCACTGCGTATGTGAAACGCATTGAAGCAGCTCGCGACGAGGCCATAAATTATCTACTCTTCATTAGTATATAAATATAATCTGGTTTAGACACATCCGTCTGCCTGTTCCTTAGCGAACTAGGCTAGCATTATAAACTTTCGAAGAAACTGGGAATATATACGATTTTTTGCTGCAGGCTATATATTATATGTCGACATCTCGTATTGGACAACTATACCATGCAGTTGCCATAGGAATTATCATAGGAAATTGTGTCCTTAATCAAATTTAATATATTTTTAAAATTATGAGAAAATATCTTGAAAGTTGTCCAAGGAGCATGGCATATTTCGTAAATACCAATTATGGTTGACATCTACGAAAAATCGTTCCTATGTCAGTTGTCTGATCTCGGGAATGTCGGAACGTTGGTCTTTATGTAAATTCTCATGACGGGACTAGTTTAAATAGAAACAGATACAAAAGCTGTACTGACTGCTTTGGATACTGATTAAGAATATATATGATTTATGAAATCAAAGATGTCTGCGTAAAACATTGCTAGACATAGTCATAAAGCCCGCTGGGAAAAAGACAGCGAATGCCTCGTTCCTATAAGAGAATTACCAAAGCTGTGCACAACTTTCCATTTGATCACAATCAGCTAAAATCGAGACTAGTAAGTAAATAATTGCTTGCGCTTTTGAATTTTGCAAGAAAAACTATAATTATAATATTTTCGCATATTATAAGCGTATGCCCTTAACAGAGATTAAAATAATTGCTGTTTGAAGCACCAATTTGTTGTGCTTGTTGTTGTTGTTTACAAAAAATGTATTTAAAATTGATGAACATGAGGGGTTCATGAATGTTTTGTTAGAGCCTTAAGACTAGTTTGTATGTTAAATAGTTTACATTTAACTCATTATCCGGCGGATAATGCTGAGGTAGGGCAAACGTTCTATATCAGACTCTATCTAACGCCTCGACCATGACAATGCTGTTGCCGCGAATTACCTGGAAAGTAATCAAAGTATGAGTATATGTATATTTCGATTCGGCGTTTAAGCGTACCACCATGCCAATACTATTCTTGGTGTTATCCTTGCACTCCTCCACGGTATCGTCGAGCACCACGTTCATGAATGGATCGAAGCCGCGCAGGATGCCGGTGACTGCTCGGCCGCCATTCAGCTTGAGCATCATGCGTTTGTCCATGTACCTGAGAGAGGGGACATGCATTTAGTAATTCTTATAGATCGGCGCCATTAAGTACTTACTTTTTCAGCTCTGGCGGATGTGCTTTCGACATTCTGATTTAAAAAATGTTTGGTTTTTTTTTTACAATTAACAAAAATCGAGGCAAATTAACTCAAAGTAAAAATGCGAACTCGTTTTGGAGTGACCGTTTGCTAAACGTTTGCACAGTGCTGTAAAGTGCAACAAATGGAAACACACTAAATGTGCTAGTGCTGCAAGCTGCGCCAGAGCTATCGTACATTGTTTATGCTATGTGCCATATATTTGGGTCATGACAACCGCAATAGCGATACTATCGTGAGCATGGGCGATAGTTTTGCAGCTCTCTCGTAGCAACACAGCAACGATAACTGCTAGCATCGGCAATTAATAATTTTTAAGTTTATTTTTATTAGTTCTCAGATTGTGTTTGTTTGTTTTTGTTTACGTTAAAGTGTATTTATGTTAACTTGTTAGATAACGTAGCCAGCATTCGGTCAAGCCATGCGAATTGTTCATGTGAAAGTCGATTGAAAGCGCCTAAACACGAAATCTACATAAATCGCATCCGTCGCTGTCGCTGTCGCCGTCGCCTTCGCCTATGCCTGTGTGTACGTGATGTACGTGTGGATGTGCCTGTGCCTGAGCCAGTGTTAGTGTGTGCCCGAAGACTTTGTCGCTGTCGCCTTTTGACGGGCCAAACAAAAGGGCGGGTAAAAGAAAAGTCAACAAAAGTTGCCAGAACGGGAACGAGGGGAAGCAGCAGCTCCCTGGCAATTTGCAATTGACAGCGCCATAACGGAACAAGCAAAAATGTTCACTAAGAAGAAGAAGAAACCGCTGATCTCGATGCCGAGCAATTTCGAGCATCGCGTGCACACGGGCTTCGACAAGCGGGAGAATAAATATGTCGGCCTCCCGCTGCAATGGGCCTCCATTGTGGGCAATAACCAGATATTAAAGTCCAGCAATCGACCGCTGCCGCTTGTCGATCCCTCGGAGATAACGCCAACCGAAATTCTCGATCTGAAGACAATTGTGCGTCCGCATCACAATAACAACAAGGCGGACACGACATCGCTGAACAGCAGCAGCAGCACCATGATGATGAGCAATCCTTCCTCCGGTGCGGCCGCAATGCTGCCCCAGCAACAGCAGCTGCAGCAACAGCAACAGCTGGTGCTGCCCAAGACATCGCATGTGGCGCGCTCGAATTCGTTGCGCAGCTCCAGTCCGCCGCGTGTGCGTCGTGTGGCCAATGTGCCGCCAGCTGTGCCCGAGGAGGAGTCATCGGCGTCGGCTGCCACGCCCACACCAACAATGCCTGGCCATGGCTTTAAGCCGCAACAGCCGATGCCACACAACATGCTCTATCCCAGTCAACATGCCCATGCGCATCCGCACCAACATCCACATCCGCACACACATCCTAATGGCGGCGTCACAGGTCCACTGGCCGTGCGCACCGATCAGTACCGTGCTGCCCCGGGCATGCCGCAGCAACAGCAGCAGCAAACGTCGCCGGTGAGCTCTGTGGCCAGTGCAACGCGTTCTACGCATTCGCATCACAACAATAACAACAACAACAACAACAATGGCCAGAACTATCCCATGTACCCTGCCTCACAACAACAACAACAACAGCAACAGCAGCAACCAAAACTTGTGGCCGATCAGAATCAGAATCCACACATCAATCACGCCAAGACAGCATCGCGCGCCTCCAGCTCCAGTGGCAATGCGGCTGCACTGGCCGCTGCCGCTGCCGCCCAAGCACAGGCGCAGGCCCAGCCCAAACAGGAGCAGCGGCTGACACACGAGCAATTCCGTGCCGCATTACAAATGGTTGTATCGGCGGGCGATCCGCGCGAGAATCTCGATCATTTCAATAAAATTGGCGAAGGCTCCACGGGCACCGTTTGCATAGCCACCGACAAGTCAACAGGTGAGTTGCTCCTCGCATCTATCAAGAAATTCAATTAATATTTCCACGCTCTTTCAGGTCGTCAAGTGGCCGTCAAGAAAATGGATCTGCGCAAGCAGCAGCGACGCGAGCTGCTCTTCAACGAGGTGGTCATCATGCGTGACTATCATCATCCGAACATTGTGGAGACATACTCTAGCTTTCTGGTCAACGATGAGCTCTGGGTGGTCATGGAGTATCTCGAGGGCGGCGCACTCACCGACATTGTCACACATTCGCGCATGGATGAGGAGCAAATAGCCACCGTTTGCAAGCAATGCCTAAAGGCTTTGGCCTATTTGCACTCACAGGTGCGTGACCAGCATGGGCAACAAGCCGAGCCCCAGCCCCAGCCCCAGCCCAACAGCCCAACAGTCCAACAATCCAACAGCCAAAGCCTCACCCAATGTCTCTTTGGCTCTTTTCCCCCATTTCAATGCCTTTCTATTTTCGTTCTTTTGCGCTTTCTTTCGCGCCGTTTTGTGCGGTTTGGTTTCAATTCCGAAATGTCGCCCGCCGCATATGTAATGCGATAGCTGGGCGCTCGGACGGTGGGCCGGACTCTGCTGTTGGCTTCTGGTACCAAACTAAAAAACCGCAAATTTTGCTGACCCAACCCTACCCTGTTAACCGAAGTCAGCGAAATGTGCATAATTGGCTTAAGCACGCATCTATATCTATTATCTGTACTCCCGCAATGGTCACTTCTGGTCGGCCATTAGAACTTGCGCAAATAAGAATCGTCTGGCCCTTCGGACAAGGCATTGGCCATAAGAGGGCATTCCCGATGAGCGCGACGATCTCGAGAACTGGAGACTTCTGATTTGAAATATTTATGCCTATATACCATATGCAGAGCAAGTTTATTAGCTTTTGTCCATATCTTCTGCATAAGATATCTTCAAGCATAAGTATACTTAAGTATATACAGATTAAAAACCACGAGAGAGAGAGGTAGAGCAAAAAATAGGTTGAAAATTAGGGCATAGAGCTGCTAAAAGATCAAAACAGTTTCCCATAGGTTCCCATATGATAGAAAGATACAGAGAGAGAAAGAGAGAACACATTTCAGTAGCGCAGGGTATCTCAAAGTCGTGTATGCTTCGCTTGTTACTTGCACTTTGTAGCTACAATAACTAAATACAAATGCGGTTTAAAACTAGTTTTAAGCTCGTTTAAAACAGGTTTGCAAAAATTACTTAAGTATTTTTAATTAACGGGAGATAGAGAGAGAGAGAGAGAGAGAGAGAGAGAGAGAGAGACAGAGGTCACATGTCCCATGTTCCATGTCCCTCCATGTCCCATAGTATCCCATAGTCGTGCAGGCTCTACTCTTTGCTTTTACAATTGTGCCAAATGCAAAACAGGTTAAAAGATGTTTGAAACAGATTCAAATATTGGACGAATTTGCGCCCAATTAGAAAGAGAGCGCGATAACAAGAGTGTATCTCATAGTCAATGTACTCTTCTTTTATTTTTACTGTACTACTAATTGCCTCCATTCCCCCACAGGGCGTCATCCATCGCGACATCAAGTCGGACTCCATTCTGCTGGCCGCGGATGGACGCGTCAAGCTGTCGGACTTTGGTTTTTGTGCGCAGGTGTCGCAGGAGCTGCCCAAGCGCAAATCCCTGGTGGGCACACCGTATTGGATGTCACCGGAGGTCATATCGCGCCTGCCATACGGCCCCGATGTGGACATCTGGTCGCTGGGCATCATGGTCATCGAAATGGTCGACGGTGAGCCGCCATTCTTCAACGAGCCGCCGCTGCAGGCGATGCGTCGCATACGGGACATGCAGCCACCAAATCTAAAGAACGCCCACAAGGTATCGCCGCGTCTGCAATCGTTCTTGGACCGCATGCTAGTCCGTGATCCGGCGCAGCGTGCCACAGCCGCCGAGCTGCTGGCGCATCCATTTCTACGGCAAGCGGGGCCGCCATCGTTGCTGGTGCCGCTGATGCGCAACTCCAGGCATCACACTTGATGTTGAGAATGAGGATGATCATGATGATGCACTGCAGCCATTTGGGACACGCTTGCTGCTGCTGCTGCTGTTTATGCTTTAGTTTTCATACCCCACTTTAATGTAGTATTATTTATCTCTGGCTACGCTTCTAGTACTCGGCAATTGCTACTTAAACCCCCGTACACCCGCCCCCCCCCCTCCCCCATACCCCTCTCACCTACTACGCATTGTAAAGACATTATGCCACGCCCTAAAGTACACACACCCACATACATACATTTTACGCATGTTCATTAAGTATTCCATGGCGGCATTCTGCAAATGCTACACAATATTTTTTATATATATATTTAAGAAAAACCCTCAAGCGACCCTCTTGTATGTCCCCCCCCCCCTCCCCCTTCCCCGTTCCCCTCTTCCGTTTTAATTTTATTAAGAAGCAACAAAATGTTGTTATTGTTTCGTGTAATTTGTAACATATTTTATATGATATATGTCGAACGCAAAATGTGCCTTTCTCTCGGAACAGACTAGGAAACATTTCATCGAATTCAATATACATGTATACACATATATGTATATATATAATTAATGTGACCATGGAGGACAGCACTCGATTGTTATTGCCGTTTTGAACCAATGCGCAGCCATTGCAAAATGTTATTCTTTATACACATAGACAAATATATTCACTTCAAGCGCCATTTGGTAACAGCTAATACTCTATCGATCGAGTGTTCTATATATCCAAAACCAAAATCAATCCTAAGCTCTGTTCTATGCAAATGCGAAAATTTAATATTTTGTTTGCTACTGTCTCAAAAGCGCAAGCGGGCACAGTTCTTGTCAATATAATGGTTTTACTCTATTATTAATTTTATATTTTAATTATTATTATTATTATTATTGTATTTTCTGTGTGGTTATGTTGAGAGCTGCATTATCATTGTTCGAATATATAAAACTGAATATAGCATATTTAGCCTAAGTATTGAGAAACAACGAATCATAAATATTGCTCACATCCAACGAAAATGATGAACCATTAATATACATATATATATCATCTATATATATATATAGATATATAGATATATAGACATAAGCAAGCCTGTACTTATTGTTGTCATTTGAACGCATGCTCCAAGCTAAGGCTCCATTTAATATACCCTATGTATAGCAATTATTTATATCATAAATAAGTTATATTGCTCGAAATCAGATTTGACATTTGTGGACTGTTAAACCCAAGATTATACAAAATACATTCCCCCAATTGAACCACAATTGAAAAATCCAATTATAAGTCTATATATATACATATATATAGTTTTTTTTTTTGAAAACATTCTGTTCTGTAATTATTAACAAATAAACACACAGGTATTGAAGCAAGCGTGTTTTTTTTTTTGTCAACTATGTTCTTTAGAAAACAATTTGCTTTTCTGTGCATTAAATTTAGTTGCTATTTCTTAGATTTAACTAAACCAAACACAGAGTTGTCTGTGGTTCGGTTCACGGTTCGCGGTTCGAACCAATGCCTCGGCTTTTTGTTCGGTTCGTGAACCTAGTTCTCCAAATTCATTAAACCAGGGTTTCTCGGTACCTCAAAGCTAAAAAAATTAAAACAATTCAATTTATTTTTCATATCTTTTTTATTATTGAAACTATTTACTTTTTTATATACAATGTGCATATATTAATATGGGCTTAAGCCTAGGCTTGCCTGTTCTTTATCCTAGTTGAGCTTCGGTTTATGGTAAATAAGAAATGGGAAATTAATTAATTGGTGCATAAATGTATTATATAGACACAAGCGATCGAAAATATGATAAGCAGGGCATTAATCGAGTTCGAGCCGGAGATGCCAATTAACTTATTATCAAGAGCCTTAAACGAAAACAAATACCACCAAAAAAAGCCAAATTGTAAACCGAACTTAGACATATTGTTTCCAACGATGATTAAGCTTAAAATTAACAACTTTTTGATTTTGAGTGGCTTAGCTTTAAAACATTAGCTTTGTCTAACCCTTTTTGGTAGATGCCAAGTTTTCGATAGAGTTCAAATTTAGCCCTGAATCTTGCATGTGCAATATTTTAGTACAACAGGCAATTAAAAATTAAAAACTGAATTGTTTCAATAAAGTGTTTAAATTTTGGACAAGCCAAGTTTCGAATTGGGTTCACGAACTGAATCCAAAGGCAGATAGTTTGGTTCGAACCGTGAACCGTGAACCGAAAGGATTTCCTATCCCTTGACTTTGCAGCCCTGGACAAATATACAAAAGTATTTTCAAAGATAAGTCTGCTAAGTTGATTATTTAAATTAAAGAAAATTCAGGCCAATTTTCGGCTGCTTTAATTCGGTTTCAAAGCGGTTCGCTAGTAAATCAAAGTCAAATTTTCCGTTCCATAAAATTGCAAGAAAATAATAAAGTCAAATGGAGAGTTTATTTTTTTTTTTAAAAATATATATTTTTTTCATTCATTTTCTTTTATTTGTAATTGTTGTTTGCTGTTGTTGTTGTTGTTGATGTTTGTTGTTTGTTGTTTGTTGTTGCATTAAGCATTATTTTAGTTTATAAATTGTAAAGGTGAATATGGAAATAAATGCGTGCCAATTTATATGAGCTATATATATTCAATGCAAATATATATACACAAATACATTGGCACAGAGCGTGTAAGGTGTTGGTGTTGGAGGAGGGGGGGGGGGGGGTTTGGTGTATGTGTATGTGTGCGAGTGTGTGTGTGTGTCAAGGCGTGCTTTGTGTGTGTGTGTGTGTGTGTGTGTGTGTGTGGCGGGGTGTGGTGTGCTGTGTGCTGTATGTGTGTGTGTTGTGCACAAAATAAATAAATGAATCTTGCTAAAACACACACACACACACATGCACACACACACACACACACACAGACACGAGACAAAAATCAAATTGTGTACTAAAAACTAAGCGGCAGATCTGCAGCTGCCCATAGCTAGCCATGAGTGTGAGCGAGACAGAGAGAGAGAGAGATAGAGAGAGAGAGCGGTGGAGAGGGAGATAGTCAGAGAGCGGGATGTTTCTGTGTGTGTGTGTATCAGATAACGGTTAAGTTATATAAATTTATATATTTTAGTTGCGCTTCCTCAAGGCCAAGCGACTGCTGAGTGGACGCTTGGGCTTTGGCTGCTCCTCCTCCTTTTGCTCCGATTCCTCGGCAGCGGCATCCACCTCGGGCTCCGGCTGAGCGGCCTTCACGGGCTTGGCCAGCTTGCGACGGCTGACTAAGGTTAAACCGAGAACAACAAAACGGATAAGTCAACTATTTCAGGCAGAGATTGAATGGAGATAACTTACGTGCCGCATTGCTCTTGTAGCCCTTGGCGGGCGAAGCTGGCGAAGCGGGCGCTGGCGCCGGCACGGACTCCTCCTCCTCGGCGGCGGCGGCCTCATCGTCGGTCTTCTTGGCCGGCTTGCTGGCGGGCGTCTTCTCGCTGCGATGCTTCTTGGCGTTCTGCTGGCGGCGCTTCAGCGAGTTGAGGAAATCATCGTTGGAGCGGAAGGGCCGAATGACGGGTCCCACTTTTTTTGGCGGCTCGGTTGTGGTCGTTGTGGAGCTGGCCGCTCCCTCATCCTGCTCATCGCCATACTGGCCATGCTCACCGGCGCCGGCCTCCTCATTGTACTCATCCTCTTCGGCGCCATCGTCATGCGCGGGCGCCGGCGTTGTTGTTGTCGTCGGCTTGGCCGCCTTGCCCACGGGGCGACGCAGTGCAGCGATTCTCTTCGCTGGCGATGCGTTGCCAGCTGGCGCGCCCTCATCTTGGGCCGCCACCAGTCCGTAGCACAGAGCGCAGATAATGAAAAGCAGGCAGCTGTTGATCGAAACCAAATCAAAAAAACAAATATCAGTTTACAGTTTTGAGGTTATGTGCAGAATTTGAGGTTAAGTCGGGCAGCAATGAGCTGCAACTTATGCGAACTATTTAGTTTTGATTAGCTGCCAGAAACTTGAAGTGTTTACAAATTAGTGCATTCTTTAGTTTGAGGTTATGCATAAACTTTGAGGTTATGCATAAACTTTAAAGTTATGCATAAACTTTGAGGTTATGTAGGAGGTTTGAGGTTATAAACTGATTTAACATCAGAAAATGTTTATTTCTGATAAGTTTTGAAGAAATTTCAAGTGTTTCCATAAAGGAACCTGGTTTAGTTTGAGGTTAGGTAGAAGCTTTGAGGTTATGCATGTGGCAAAACTTTTAAATAAGCAAAAAATGTCTGATTTAGATAAGCCTAAAGGTTTGAGGTTATGTTTGGAGCTTGATGTTGAAAGAGAGCCCTAAAAATATCAATAAAATAACTTGGCATTTAGCTGAAGCGCACTCTTGAAACTCTTCCATAAGGAAATTGTTTATAAATAATAGCTGATAAAATCGCATGCATAATTCTATTAAGCCGGCTTTGGCTGGATCGAAATATGTTGCCTAACGACCACGAGGCGCAACTTCAATTGAAATTCTCCATAGTCAATTAGCTGGCATCTCCAAAGACACATACATACACATATGTGCACAAAGATATAGATATATATATATAGATGTATATATATATGTATATATGCATGATTTCTTTTCTGGTCTGGTTGAACGGGTTGTGCTGAGAACCTGAACCGGACTTGGCTGCTAAAAACACGTACCATACATAAATTGTGTGCGCACACATATATACATATATATATATATATATCTATATGTGTGTGCATGTGTGCATGTATGTGCATATATATTCATAAGCCATGTGCGTCTGAACATAAATAAATAAATATATTAAGATAGGCCATAAAGATATGTATGCGCCGTCTGCCGCCGCTGCTGCTTCTTCTTCTTCTTCTTCGTCGTCGTCGTCGTCGTCGTTGTCGTCGTCGTCTTCTTCTTCTTTTTTCACGCCCGAGATGTGCTAACAATTATTAATGCTTAAAGGTCAGCTAAACGGGTTTTGTTTTTCTTTTTTCGGTCTCACTTTCGATTTTAAATTTATGCGCTTACGAATTGGCTTTTTTTATTGTGCTTCTTCTTCTTATTTTTGGTTATTTGTTTTGTTGCTGTTGTTGTTGCTATTTTTTGTGGATTTCTTTCGCCTTTTCGCATGCTAAACAAAAGACTTAGGCAGCGAACTTGTTTTGAAATACTTCTGGCAACAGTCTAAGGCCAGTGCCTGCAGTTTAGCTGTTAGTTAGCCCGCCCACTAACCGCCCGCCCGTTCCCTTGCTGCAGCTGCGCCAAAAGGCAACAGGTGCTTATGCAAAAGTAACAGCAACAACAACAACAGCAGCAACAACATCTGTAAACCAGTTGCCCGTTGCCAGCGCCAGAATAAATTTAAATGCGCACATGATCGGCACATGCAATTGGCTAATAACGGTAAAATGTGCAAGCCGACAACTCGGGCCAACTCGGGCCGCAGTCATGAGGGCGAGGCCCAGGCCCAGGCCCGCCCCAACCCCAACAACAACAACAACAACAGCAACAACTGCAATTGCCGCTAGCTGCTGCTGCTGCCACTGTTGTTGTTGTTGTTGTTGTTTTTATTGCCGCCGGGCTGGGTTGCATCTTTTCGCATTGATTAGGGTCAACTGTGGCATGTCCGAGCGACTCTTTGCATTTCAATCGCCGCCTTACACTTATGCAACACGTTCATGGAAAGGTGAAAGGCGGCCAGTTGTTGTTGTTGTTGTTGCTGTTGCTGTTGTTGTTGCTGTTGTGGGTGCGTGTTGCTGGCGTGTTGCCTGGAATCATTAACTGCTTCTTCTTCTTCTTCTTGTCGCTTCTTAATCGAAATTCAAGTCAAGCGCTGTGTTTAGTTGTTGCAAGTCTCTTCGTACAGCCGAGTCCATGTCTATATGACATTTGGCGTCTTGCGCTTTGGTTGAACCGGTTTTTTGGCATTTTGGGAACTGGGAAACTATTGAAGCGCTCTCCGAGACAATACACTCACACACATGCAATCATTTCTAGCCAAGCCCCGAAAAGCAGCAACAACAACAACAACAACCTGTTATATAAGCAACATTAGTTGCAAATTTATGATAAGGAAAACGTCAGCCAAGCGCCGAGAATCTTTAAGTGGAAGGCGGAACCATTCGTTTAATGATGCTGCATCATCATCATCATCATCATCATCATCTTCATCATCATTGTCATCACAAACTGCTTATGCAGACGCGACTAGCAGATACCCAGGGCCACGCACATTTTCAATGTGAAGAAGAAATAAACAATCAACAGAAATACCCAACTTTGACAAGCCGAATATTAAATACCCTTTGTGGACATGGGACGTAAGGTCTTACAGATATGTGACAGGAAGATTCTGAGTTGGCTATTGACTCTGATCAAGAATATATATACTTTATGGGGTCGCAGATGCTTCCTACTGCCTGTTTAATAAATTTTGATTCGGTTTAGGTTATAAAAGGAACAAAACATTTTTCTATACAGCAATATAATAATATAGCAATATAATAATATAGTAGCATATATGATATAGAGAATAAATGATATAGATATATATGATATAGAGAAGATCTTTATAGTTGGAATTCTCTTCATGGGTAGAGCTCGCTTTAGATATTTTTAAAGACAAATAAGAACTAAATTTTTGTCTAATCATGCTCATGTCAGCTAGATGATATAGTGCATCGATCCGTTATCGATATATGTATATGTGTATATGTGTAACAACCAGGCGAACAGACAGACAGACAGACGGACATGGCTATAAATCGTCGGCTCTTAATGCTGATCAAGTATATATATATATATGGAATGTCTCCTCGTATGCGTCACACATTTCACGACAAGATCAAACTACCCTTGAGAAGTGTATAAAAACGTAATTGAGAATAATACAAATATTTTCGTACCAAGGCTTGAATGTTGTCATTTAATTTATTAACACTGTTTTTGAGTGTTGAAAGCGCGTGTTCTTGAAAAAGCGAAGCTTGTTTTCGTGTGCATATATTCACGTCTACATAAATTGATTTATAATTTATGATTTATAAATTAAAATTCGATATTGTTGTACTTTTTTTTTTGCTTATAAATTAAAAAAGAATTTAAATAGTTCGTTTTGCTTAGTTATATTCTGCTTACACGTTTTAAAACAAAAAATCAAATATTTTTTTTTTATTTAACTATTTTTGATTATAAATGAAAAAAAAAGAAGAAAAGATAAATTGATTTTTTTGAACTACTTTTGCTTAAACGTTTTTAATATAAAAAAAGATTATTTTTAACCCGTTTTACTTTTATTTATAAAAAAATGTTCGTTTTATTATTGAACTATTTTTGCTTATAAATGTAACTCAAGGAATTAGAGAAAAAATTTATTAAGGTAAATTATTATTGTTAATAAATATGATTATAATATAATAATATATTGTTTTAAGTGATTACTTTTTGCTATTTTGCAACACTGTTTTTTTTTTTAGAACAAACCGAAAATATTTGAAGAACTTGGGCCGTAATTGGCTTGGAAATCGGATCTGGAACTTTTGCTGAAAAGCTAGCTTATATACAGAAATATGCATATCTGATGCGCAGATTACAGGGTATTTAGAGGGTATAACAGCAGGGAAAACGAAGCGAACCGATTTTGTCCATTTGTTATTTGCGCATAAAAAGTGTTCGCCGTGAAGAGCTCGGTCAACAAAACTTCACATTTCAGTTAAAAGTGTTTTTCTTGTTTTTAAACGCATTTTTTTATTTGCCCTCTTTTTCTTGTTTCGTTTTTATTCAGTTTTATTTTTTCAGTTTTATTTTTGTTTATCACATGAGATTATGATTTGCATTTGCGGAATTAGTTCATGGCGATGGCGTCATGGGCTCAACTATAAAGTTGTTGTTGTACACCAGAAAAAAACAAGCGACAACAAAATAAAAAATCATAATAATAATAATAATACAATAAAGCTGAAAGGCTAATTTTGCCAATAGCCATGCCCCCAAAACGGGTCACTATGCTAATTGCCCATCTATAGTCGGAGTTGGAGTCATGCCTGGCTATATATGCATATATATATATATATATATATGGGTTTATGTGTGTATATATATGTATATATGGGACAGCTCGAATATAATTACGAGCTTTAAAGAAAAAGAAAAACGTGCGCATTTGTTGCTGTATTTACTTGGCCTGTAACTGCTGTTGCTGTTGTTGTTGCTGTTGCTGTTGTTGTCGCTTAAGTGGGTTCAATAACGGTGCATTGTGACGGCACAAGTACGTGTTGTAGCCAATAGTCGCAGCCAATCAGTTAGTCAAGTCAGCAAGTTCGTTGCCTGAGTCTTTTGATTTGTGTTACAGTTTCTTTATTTGACGTACTTGTTGTTGCTGCTGCTGCTGTTGCTGTTGCGGGCTGGCTTACATTGAATTTGGCTTATGAAATGCACGCAAGCACACACACACACACGCACACACACACACGCACACACTCAGGTGTGTGTTTAACACCTTGTTGCCAATTTGCACAGTTTGACAAAGTCCTTGAAAATATGTTTTAAAGCAACAAAAAAAACACTTTTTTGCTTCAAAACTTTTGCCAGCAACATCCAACTACATATGATGTGTGCGAGTGTGTGTGCGAGTGTGTGTGTGTGTGTGCGAGTGTGTGTATTCTGGTTTGGTTTTTGGCATGCACATGATCTGATCTCTCTTATTTAAATAATATTGCATAATGCGAGCGATTTGTGCGCCAAAAATGAAATGAAACGCATGTAAAACGACAGCAACAGCAACAGCAACAACAACAGCAACAACAGCAACAACAACAACAGCAACAACATGACAAACCCCCAAAACGCCAGCGAAACTAAATTAAAATCCTGATCTTGCCGTCAAATTGGCGCTTGTTGCTGCCGTCTCCCGTCTGCCGTCTCCCGTCTTCTGTTGCTGGCGATATTTCGATATTTTTTTTTTGCCCCACTGTGATTAATTCCCCCCATGCGCTATGCGATTAACATACATATTACTTATATATATATATATGTATATATATGCATGTACATGTGTGTGCGTGTCTGTCAGCTTGCATTAAAAGTGCAACCGTTAATTTATAAGACAACATCTCAGCCAACAAGCAGCAATGTGCAGCGGCAACAGTCACAATTTGCAGCGCTTGGTAATTAATCCAATATACTCGCACTTAATTTACCAACAGCAACATCCTGCCCGGCCAACCGCGGGGGGGGGGGGGGCCCACCATGCGCTACCCATGCCAAGCTAAGCAACTGCGGCCAGATGTTGCTGGCGTGCAGACGACAATAGCAACAGCAGCAACAACAGCAGCAACAGCAGACGGCAGCATCAGCTGGCGACCTTGAAACATTTCTTTCAATCAATGCACTGACAGCCAGTCATACAGTCAGACAGACAGACAGACGGACAGACGGACAGTCAGTTGAATGAGCCTCTTCTCACATCAAGTTGCTGGTTGCTGTTGCTCGGCGACAACTGCAATTGCAACGGCAACGGCAATTGCAGCTGGGAATTGGCATTTGCCATTTCTTTGTGCCGGCAAATGCCACAAGGCAACAACAACAAGAACAACAACAGCAGCAGCCACATAATGTTAATGATCATCATTGGCAACAACAACATCATCATCATCATCATCATCAACTGCGACATTTTGCCGTGTGAGAGATTTGAAACGTTGGCGTGTTAAAGTTCAGTTGAGGCATTCGGTTCACAGATTTCTTGCAGCCAAAAGTCGTGCTCGAATAATAAAATAAAAAATCTTGAGACGTGCGACTTGCAAATACCCTGCAAAAGCTTTGTAAGAGATAGATAGATAGATAGATAGATAGATAATAGTCGTTAAATACATTAGCTAACTCTTGGGCACGCTTAGGAACCAGGCTAAACCAGGAAAAGCCAGGAAAAGCCAGGTAAAGCCAGGAAAAGCCAGTTTATATGCCAATCAACTCTTGTAACTCTGGCATATGTGCAGCGATTATGGGGGAAACTCTCAGAATAAACTTAAAATGTGCACACCAAATTTCAGTTTCATCATTCCCAAGCCAATATCTCGCCTTGCTCTTAAGTATATGCAGCCAAGTTGTGTTACATTAGCTGCTGGCAGGCTCTAGACTTTACGAACCAAATTTCATGGTTCTAGCATTTGCAGTTCCTGAGTTCAATGGGTTTGGTCAGGCTGGCAAATGGAACCGACTCGATAAACTGAAGAGTTGTGACTTGAAGGCACTCGTAGCTGCATTTTCTATGCCCGTTAAAAGTGTTCGAGACGTGAATTAAGTGCAAAAATGTTGGCAACCCTGGCCAGATGCCAGCCAGAGAGCAGAAACTTATTTCGACATCAGCTAATTTAATGCCCAAATTGCTTTATTAACGATCTTAGGTTTTATAAAATAACATAAATATCCCAAACACGTCAGCAAAAAAAATATTAAAATAAATGCAGAAAAAACTGGATTAGCTGCGCGGCAAACACAAAAAGATAAGCAAAAAAAGCAACAAAAAAAATGTTGAAAAAAAAAAACCCACAAAAAGTATGTAAATTATTAAAAATATATCTCACTCACATGTTGAAGTACTTCATTTTGTATGTATGTGTGTGTGTGTGTGCGTTGTGTATATATATATTTAAAAACTTGAATTAAAAAAAAAAAATGGAAAATTTTTTCTTAAAACGCGCGAAACGTACAAAAAATTCACGACGATATTTGTTATATATATATGTATATATATATATTTTTTTTTTTTAACGGGCTTTAAAGACGCACAGGGTTAGACACTGAGGACTGTGGAGACTGAGGACTGTGGAGACTGGAGACTGGAGACTGTGGAGACTGGAGACTGAGTCTGGGGCACAACTGAGTGCTGAGTGCTTAAGCCACGATCACGATCGACTTCTAGAGGCTGACTGAACGTTACTTATGCCGTGTGCATGGAGTTAACCTACGGCCACCCAATATTTTGTGTGGCTGCCAGCAACGCTCGATTTGATTTTTCTTCTTTTTCTCTCTTATTTCTTGGTGTATTTTATTTTGTGGCCGCTGCGACGGCAACGGCAACGGCGACGGCGACGCGCACAGCGACTGCGACGCAGACAGCGAGCGGCGGCCAACAACAGGTTGGTGTCCGCCCTAATCCAACTAACCAGCGGCAGCAACGGGCCACAGAGAGCGAGCGAGCGTTGGTCGAGGTGGGGGCGGGGGCAGAGGGGTGTGGCTAGGGGGTAGGGGGAGGGGTGTAGCAGGGTGCGGGCTATTGACGCAGGCTCCGTTCGTAATTATATGCAAAGAGTGCAGGAGCACTTCTGGTTTCAGGCAATTTGTCATTGCTGCCGCTGCCCCTGCCGCTGCCGCTGTCGCTGTCGCTGCCGATGTTGAAGTCAGCGCAGACTGCGCTGCCGGCGCCAGTTGTGGCTTTTGTGCTAGTGACAGGTTTTCTTTGGCTTTCGGCCGACGACGACGACGACGACGACGATGCCAGAGTCGCAGAGTCTTAGGTTCGGCTTTTATTTTAGCATACCCTGTAATCATAAAATAATGAGAGTGGCTAGCATGCGCTTGTGCAAACACAAAATATAGAATTGAAAGTTAATTATTTAGCTTTAGCATTGAATACCATCACATAGGTTGATATGTTCTAGCTTCTGCGTTTATCATGCTAAATGCCAAAAAATCTCGCCTTCGGTTCGCCAGCCTAGTTTTCCTTAATCCCAAACTCAAGTTCTAGTTCGAGCCTTGGTACGCTACATTTGAAATAAAATAGTTTTTACGTTTTTTATTATTTTCGACAAAACTCTTTTCTTATGAAAATGTTGAATTACTTCATAAATCTGTGCAAAGACCTGTGGAAAAAATAGTAGAATATATTTGAAAATTGAGCAGCAAAATTTTAATTTTTTTCATTTTTTTTTTGTTAATGTGCTTATTTTCCTTATATTTTTTTTTATTGATTTGTTTATTTACAGCATTTTGCTGGCCGTTTACTAAGTTGCTATTAACTGTGAAAAACCAGTGTTGGTTAACGACAGATTTTTGAATTTAACCAAAATGGTATTTTATGTGTTGGTATTTTTTGCGCCCCAAGGAAGAACTTGCTGCAAACTTGCTTTAACAACATTATTGTGAACTATATAGAAAATAAATCAAATAGAATATAAATATATCAAATAAATCGTTTGCACTTTGTATTATGTAATTTCAACTGCTCGTAGACTTACGTACAGGGTATCTGCAGGTCATGTAGTTTTTTGCTGGCTTAACATTATATTTTTTGTATTTTATTTATTTTTTTTTCGACTATACTTTACTTATGAGTTTTATTAATTAATTTATTGATTTTGGGCCAATTGTTGTTATAAACACGTCGGCTGGTAAATCCCGAGTTTGCAGACCAAATCAAGATGCGACATGTAAAAAGATAAAGAAAGAAACATCCAGATTTACATATCCAACCAACTATAGGTATATTAATATATATATATATATATATATATATATATATCGTGATATAGATTTGTAGATGTGCATAATTTGGTAGATTCGTATGCCATTATGCGCGGCCTTGAACTGATTTGTATCAAAATGCTGGGCGCGGGCGAAACTTTAATGATAATTATGATATAATATTGATGAGCGAGCCAATCCGAATTCGGGTGTTCAAATCGAAAGATAGCATATGAGGTGCCGCCTAATCATCTTAACGATTGCTTCTTTGAACTTTTGCCAGATGTTCTGCCCAGATGTTGGCGAGGCGTGACTGGGCCAAGTCCAGCTAATTATGTGGTCACTGCCTTCAACTCGAAAATATTAAACTAAAAAAAAAAAAAAAAATAATAAATAAAATAAACACTGGGCAACTTGCCTTGAACTAGAAAATGTCAACGTCTGCAGGGGGCGCGGTCGGGGTTGCCTTGTCGAGAAAAAGAAAACAAAAACTATTTGATGTCTACCCTGTAAAAATGTGTAAAACATAAAGAAAAAAAAAAAAAAAGAAGACAATAAAAATCGAAAAACAAAAAACTTGTTAAATTATTAACAACATGCATTTGCATTCGAGCGACGACACTGAAATCGAATCAAACTAGAAATCAAAAATCAAAAATCCGAAATCTGAAATCAGAAATCCGAAATCGTATCGCATCGCATCGCATGCAAATGCAATCTGATCAATTTATAAATAAAAAAAAAAACAAAAAAAAAAAATAAAAACTATTCGTCTATGCTAATCTATTATTCATACAATTTTTCTATGCATTACAAGCTATTAATAATTATTATGATAAACGCCCAAGACAAAGACGAAACCCAACCCAGACACGATCTTCGCGTGAAACTCTTTTTATTTTGGGTCTGCGGACAAATGTCAACGCGGAGCGAGCCGAAGTCGCAGTCGCAGTCGCAGTCGCAGTCGGAGTCGCAGTCGGAGTCTGTTGCAACATCGCTCAGGGGCAATCCATGAGGTCTATCTACCAGCCCAAAACTGTCTATAAAATACAAAAAAAGCATTCGAAACCCAGCTTAGACAATATTTAGCCCAAGCCAAATAAATTGCATATTAAAAGAAAAATAAATGAGTCCAAACAATGTTTCAATTATGTTCTTAATTTTAAGCTAACAGTAAATCAGGAGTGCCCAGCTAGGCGATAGCCGCCATTCGAAGTTCCTTTTTAACCTTTAGGTTAGCGTTAAGTAAAACGAGAAAGAAGGGCTATCTTCGGCACGCCGAAGATTAAATACCCTTGCAGACCCAACCTTTTCATAATGCTTAAGGTGGCTTGCGCGTATCTAAAAAGCACAGGGAGAATAGTTAATGCCGACTATGGTTAAGATATCTTGAAAAACAAATTATTTTTCCATACAGCAACTTACTTTACGACCGATCGTTCCTATGGCAGCTATATGATTTAGTGGTCCGATCCAGCAGGTTTTGACATAGGTACTGCGTGCAACAGAAAGAGGCACTCCTGCAAAGTTTCATAGAGATAGCTTTAAAACTGAGAGACTAGTTCGCATAGAAACAGACAGACGGACAGACGGACATGGCTATATCGACTCGACTGTTGATACTGATCAAGAATATATATACTTTATGGGGTCGGAGATGTCTCCTTCTATGCGTTACACATTTCACGACAAAATTATAATACCCTCTGCAAGGGTATAAAAATGGTTTAATTTAATTTATGAGTGATACAAATCTAAATAATCCGTTCAATAATTAAACTTTGAAAGGGGGAATACTTTTCGATTTCGGCATAACTTTCCATTTTGGACTCGTAAGGATCAGAACGATCGATTGGGCATTAAAAAAATTAAAATCTAAATGAATATCTGCTTTTGAAATGTTTTAACTTTTTGAATTCGTAAAGATCAATCTGCATTCAAACATTTTAAAAATCGATAGTTCAAAAAAAGTGGTTGACCAAAAACCGATTCGTTTGTAAAGTCAACCTTTTTTGATGATTTTTGGTAATATCTCGGCCAAACAATGTCCGATGTGGGAATTTTATACCATTTTGGACTCGTAAGGATCAGTACTATCGATTGGCATCAAAAAAATAAAAATCTAATTTTTGACCAAAATCATCAAAATGGCAAGGGGTTACATCACGTTTTTTCTCAAATGCGGGGTCGGTTCGAAATTCGAAACTTTTTTGATAATTTTTAGGGAATATCTCGGGTAAATGCTGTCCGATTTTGAAATGTTATACCTTTTTGAATTCGTAGGGATCCCTACTATCAATCTGCATTCAAACATTTTAAAAATCGATAGGTCAAAAAAAGTGGTTGACCAAAAACAGATTCGTTTGTAAAGTCAACCTTTTTTGATGATTTTTGGTAATATCTCGGCCAAACAATGTCCGATTTGGGAATTTTATACCATTTTGGACTCGTAAGGATCAGTACTATCGATTGGCATCAAAAAAATAAAAATCTAATTTTTGACCAAAATCATCAAAATGGCAAGGGGTTACATCACGTTTTTTCTCAAATGCGGGGTCGGTTCGAAATTCGAAACTTTTTTGATGCTTTTTATTGAATATCTCGGGTAAATGCTCTCCGATTTTGAAATGTTATACCTTTTTGAATTCGTAGGGATCCCTACTATCAATCTGCATTCAAACATTTTAAAAATCGAAATGTTAAAAAAAGTGGTTGACTAAAAACCGATTCGTTTGTAAAGTCAACCTTTTTTGATGATTTTTGGTAATATTTCGGCCAAACAATGTCCGATTTGGGAATTTTATACCATTTTGGACTCGTAAGGATCAGTACTATCGATTGGCATCAAAAAAATAAAAATCTAATTTTTGACCAAAATCATCAAAATGGCAAGGGGTTACATCATGTTTTTTCTCAAATGCGGGGTCGGTTCGAAATTCGAAACTTTTTTGATGCTTTTTATTGAATATCTCGGGTAAATGCTGTCTGATTTTGAAATGTTATACCTTTTTCAATTCGTAGGGATCCCTACTATCAATCTGCATTCAAACATTTTAAAAATCGGTAGTTCAAAAAAAGTGGTTGACCAAAAACCGATTCGTTTGTAAAGTCAACCTTTTTTGATGATTTTTGGTAATATCTCGGCCAAACAATGTCCGATT